CAGGCCGGTAGCATGCACAGAAGGCCCTCTCCTCTTAAAAAGATGAGTGAGACAAATCTTAACCTGGACTCCTTGACAGGATCTCCTCAGAAGAGCTGCAGAGATAAAACCAAGCATCCCTTCCACTCGCAGTTAGAGCTTTACAGTCACGGCATCCCTGGGGTTGCACCTTTGTTGTTTAACTGCAGCTGTGCTGGCCCTGCTTCTTTCCCCTCTCCTGTCGGCTGAATTTCAAAGCCGCCAGAACCTCCAGAATTAGACTTGTCTTCTTAGAAATGAGTTGCTTGGCCCTTTGTCTGTTTTTTCTCCTACCCATCTTCTTACTCTGAGAGTAAAAGCACTAGTCTTCAGACCGTGATCCAAATATGTCATGGTTCCAGGGACTAAACAGAAACACAAAAGGAAGTGGTTTGATGGGGATGAGCCAGCAGCTGAACTTGGACGAGTACCTCGCTGAGAGCCCAGGTGTTTCCTGGAGTACCTGTGCCCTCTGGGTTTTCGGCTTTATATTCCGAGCCGACAGGAGGACTGATCCTCCTAGCTTTAGGACCTTCAGACAGTTTTCTTATACCTTACCTTTGAACTGTTTCCTTAAAGAAAATCATTCAGCATCTCTGACGCATGAAAATAACTATGGTACGTTGATCTGTTGCTGTGTGTGTGTAAAACCAAAACCAAATTCACTGCCATCGAGTTGAACTCGACTCATAGTGACCCCTCCTTGGGTTTCTGAGGCGGTATTGCTATGGAAGTAAATTGCCCAACCTTCCTTCTAAGGAGTGGCTGGTGGGTTTGAACTGCCAGGCTTCTGGTTAACAGTCAAATCCCTTAGGCACTACACTACCCGAGCTCCTCTGTGTATGTGTAGAGTACACATATTCTCTTGCCTAGGAAGTGGATAGAATCTTCTACTGTCGTGTGACTTAATCTCTCCTCTGTCATTTCCCAAGGCAATTTATTGCCTCCAGGAGATTTGGGGAAGTCCTGAGTAAAGTCAGGACATGATTAAAGAGATGGAAGGAGAATTTATGAAAACAGCTAGACCATGTGAGAGTGATAGGGTGAAGTTTACAGAAGGGAAGGATGGCAAATTTAGAAGTCTAAACATTTGAACGTTAGAGTGGCCAGGTGAAAAAAAAGGCATTTCTGCAAAGAGTCGTCTTTATGGAAGCAGACTGTCTCATCTTTCTCCCACGAAGCAGCTGGTGGGTTTGAACTGCCGACATTTTGGATACCAGCCAGATACTTTAACCTCTGTTCCACCAGAGCCTCTTCTTTCTACTTACAGTTGTACTGAATGTTTTTAATAATGAAAATGGAGCTTCTTCCACTTGCTAGGTAGTTAGGCCTTAAGAAGGTAGA